TAACCACAGAGCCTACCTTGATAAAGTCCCACAACTAGGGGCGAAACATTGGCGTTGGTTGTACACGAAAAATAAGACGATACACCCTTACTGGTTTTTATTCTTCTTTCTGGGGTGTAAATAGGTAGTAGGTATAGAACGTTTTACATCTTATTCTGGGGATTATTAGTAGGTCACCCTTGAAAATTCCAGGTGGCAATCATTCCTGGAGCCCTCGGACTCTGTTGATAGCATTTGAAATTGTTAATATTACATTGACTGCGACCACATAAACTGAATTGCCCAAAAATATACTTATCAATGTACTAGTATCATTGATTTTTTTCAAAAAATATTTTTTACAAATACATGTACATGTATAGTGTGTAAATTACAATTAAATTACTCATAGTGTTCGGTTCAGACTACTGACATAACGTTTTGTAAGACAGTATTATGTCATACTAATAAATTTACCAAGTTAAATGATCTAATTGCCAGAAGACGCGATTTTATGAGCGTTACATCCCGTTGTTTTCGTAGAAACATTATAAGTGTCGCATGTGGTATAGTTTTCGTTAAATTTTATTTTCTTTGCTGCCCAATTGTTGGGTCGCTTTTGCCATTATTTCAAATTATTACTTTCGTAGATACTAATTACATAACTAATTATTTTATCTCAGTTTAATTATTATCAATATCGCCTGAAAAGTACGTTTTCTAATTGTATACCAAACGTGGGGTTAGTGCTGTTCTAATGTAAGATTAAAAATTTATTTTTGGTGGAATGTATTTATACTTGGTACATAATAACTTCAGAAACTCAGGTCAAAGACTTACTCTATTAACGAATTTTGTGATAAACATTGACCTTCTTGTCCAGATAAAGGAAATTAATTCATGAATTTATCGTGCAGTATCTTTTTGTAAACAGTCTCTACATAGAATTATATTTAATTAATATTCAGCGATTGTTAAATTCAAACGAAAAGTAAAAAGAGTCAAATGTTAATGAAAATGAGAAATAATTAAGCATAGTATTATAAGTACTTTTTATTTATTTGATCATCATCTCATAATCTAAACAAATTGCATCAGTCAGTTTTTTTAAAGGTTTGATGAGAAAAATTATTTCATGTAACCAAGATTTTTTCCACATCCATTACACTGAGTTTTGAAATATGCCAAAGAAAATTAACTTACATAAAGGAAAGTTCTAACAGGTATAAAAAATAATTCATATATTCGCTCAACGGTGGTTCCAAAATAACAACATTTTAGTTAATTTTAGTAGGAATTTTCGTAAGTGAATTTTATAAATTCGGATAGGTGAAATTTAATTTGAACCCATTTGAGAATACGTTAGCAACTCTCAATACAGTTGAGCTATTATTAATATTAATTCCAATAAAGAAGCTTTCTGTAACACCAATCCCAGCTACAATTTGAAACTTTTACATTTGTTTTTCCGTTTAGGATGAAGGCAGTAATTCTGTTATTTTTGTGTTCTTTTCATCTTTTTGAGTTTCTCCCTACCCCTTCGTCATTCTAAGTCACAGTTTTATTGATTATCAACGATTTTTTGTGACTAAAATTTGTTTTTTTNAATACTTGGTAATTTTTGATTTTTCTAACTCCAAGTCTCCAAGTAATTACTTAAATCAATATTTAACGTTTATTTTCTGGTTGAGTTTTGAAGTAGGAAATTAGGTAATTTCACAGTTTCTCAATTTCTTATAATAACTAATGCATCTGATAAACAAACATTTGTTTCAGTAACTACGTGTGTGTGTTCATTTTATTAATCATACAATAAACAATTTAATTTTAAGGATTTGATGATGCAACTTGTGTGAAAGGACATAATATCATAGAAAAAGACTCACCTGGTATACTTTCGCAAAAAATTATTATCAATCTGACAATTGTTTCGACCATTATTCTAAGACTACACCTACTTTTTGAAAATGACCGAATAATGGTCGAAACAATTGTCAGATTGATAATAAATTTTTGTGAAAGTTTACAAGTGAGTTTTTTTCTTTGAAATAAACAATTGTGCTGTTCGTTTCTCTAAAATTTGGTTTGGTGAGGAAAAGTTTTACCTTTCCTCATGCAATAAAATTCTAAATCCAGATACCTGGGCAAGTATCTATTGCTACACTCTTTCAATTGTTTCTATCAAAGGTAAAGTGGACATCGTATATCGCATGTAAAAGGTACAGGCGTAATTCAAAAGGACGTTTGAAAGCCGGTTCTTTGACCGAAACATTCCTTTAGGTCAGTCATCACCTTTGCAGTTGTTATTAATTGCAAACTCGTCCGATGACAAACTATCGAGAGTTCGTCCCTAAAAATATGATCGATATACTTGTCTAATTATTGATTACACTCGATATGAATTAAAAATGGAAGTTAATTTAAAAATACTTTCTGTGGAACATTTCGAATTTAAACAGTGTATGTATGAAACGTATGAATTCTTTATAACAAAATTTAAGAGACCGAGCTTATTTTCTATAGAAAAAGATAATAAAAATTTCACAAATAAAATTTTTATTTTCACAGCAATTCTATCTCCTTTACTATCGCACGCATTCTAATGTGACGTATGTTTCTTTACAGAAGATAGCAAACGAATTTAATAGGGAGCTTTTTCATAAAGAGCTTTATTATAAAAAATTTACTGTTTGTAACAATTTTATAGTAGTTTTTGTAAAAAAAAGTATTATACATCTAATAGGATAGTTCGCCTAGTGGTTTATCCACAAAACAATATTATTTTTGGTATATTACTTCCTCAGCCTATTAAAATTTTTCTTTAAGAAATATGTGTTAATAGAGATCCATTAATCTATTAAAGAGGAAGGTTCTTCTTCATTAACTCAGTTTAGGCACAAAATTATATTTTCAACAATTGGTCTATGACTTAACATAGTTTTGTGCTATTTTTATGAGTACTGTTGTAATTTATCATAGTTAGCGAATGATTATTACGGTTAAGTACGAAGTTATCGTAAAATTTGCTGCATACGTCTCTCAACTTTTAAAAGCTAGCTATTACCAAAATTTATCAATAGATACATAGTATATAGATGTCCAATTGTCCCATTTAACTATTTCAAAAAATGTAAAAGTATATTTGTTATACATTAGGTGTTAACTACCTAATTATCTCTTGTCCTACATGATTATTAGATAATATTATTCTGAAAACACGAATAATATGAAAGTTACCTGTATCTAAGTATCTGATTCAATATTTTTAGCATTCAGAACAAACAACTGGTGTGTGCTTGAATTTCGAACAAAATTACTTGACAATCTTTTATAAGAGTCTCAGATGTCACCTTGCGTAAGCAATTTATAAACACACTTTATAATATGCAATTTCTAAAAGCTTTTACCTACTGTTTAAACATTTTATGTTAAAAACATCATTGGCGGAACCAAAAACTTTTTTTTTCGTTTCTGAGATGAATAAGTCTGTTAACATTTAATTTTTGTATTTATGTAGGTTAGGTTGGGTTATTAGGTCATTCTAATGTATGAAGTGTTGTATTTAGATAGGCAATCAGCCTAAGCACCCAGCTACAATTTGAAACTTTTACATTTGTTTTTCCGTTTAGGATGAAGGCAGTAATTCTGTTATTTTTGTGTTCTTTTCTGATATTCACGGGCGAATTTCCTAATTCAATTTTTTACAGAGTACTGGAGTACGAAATTCGTAAATCACAGAACCTTATTGGTGGAAATGCTTAACGTATTTCTATCATTGGACCCGCCAATGGTAATATCAAACAAAATTTTTGTGAAGTAACAAAACGTGCCTTGTTATAGCAAACATTGCAAAAAGGAAAATGCATTGCAATTATTAGTCATTGTTTCCTAGAAGGAAACTTATATAAAATTATTCTTATCAGTTATTATCTATAAGTACATTAACTATTTTTAATTGTGCTTAAATAGTCATTTTTATTTTTCAATGTTTCTTAAAAAAACTTTTGATGAGAATCATGCCAATATAAATACGGAAGATCTTGAAATTTTATACTGTATGTTCAAAGCAATATACCACGTTATCTGTTAGGTACTCGCAGAATTTAAGTAGTAGCGATATCATTTTTTTACTTTACACATTTACCTCATTTCGTTTAATTTTTCGTTTTGGATATGAATGAATTTGTTTTCTTTTTTAAATATTTGACCTTTGGCATAGTGTACTAGTTTTTATCAGTAGATATACACATTTACATAGTGAATATATGATTGTAACAGCTCATAAAAACCATGTCAAACAACCTTTTGGGGACAAATTGCGTAAAATAATTTAATAGATATTACACGCAGCTTGATTAAAGTGATCTAAATAATTGCAACAACGATAGCATCCAGAAGCAAATTTTAATCAGTTTGGAACATAGTTTGAGGTTGCTCTTATTGGGCACATTAATCTTTAAATGTGGTTATTCACATGTGCTCTTAGTTAACTCCGAGTCAGTCAAGTATTTTTAGCCAAGATAGAAAACATACCATTTCCATGTCTCAGAAGCACAAGTTTCAAAAATAGGCAGCGGATACAAACACTGAAGACAATAGGCTTGATAATACTCTTTAGGGAAATATTATCAATAGTTTGTAGTAAACATGAAAATAATATGTGGTATTAGTTGTTATTATTATTTAATAATTTGATAGACTTGTTATGTAGATATGGAGTCGCTCGTCATTTAAGGAATCATAACATATTTATATGGAATTACTAAAGGATTATGGTCACCATTTAGATACACACATAAATTAAAGTTTAACTCATCAGTTGCTACATTGTCCAAGTGAAATATTTAAAGAAAATAACAATTAGAAAATTATTATTCTTGTGATTGAAAAGTCGGTTGTAGGTTCTTATAAGTTGTCCAAATGTTTCCCTCTGTATTCCAGGATGTGATAGGTATTTTTAGTAACTGGTGTTCAACACATTTTACAATACGCCTGATTGTCTCTATTTCAAGAAAAGCTACCTGAGGTCGGTTGAAAGCGTCGTAACATTTGATGCCTCGCTTCCCAATGACCGGCGTTTGGTCGATCTCATCCGAAAGGACCACATTCAGGATATACTGTGATAACAAACATATAGTCACTGAGACGCGCACAAACATGATGCCGTATATTTTACTCTAGATGTTTTTCACTTGTATTTAAAGAGAACTTTCCCTTCTTCGCTCTATACGACAACAATTTCACTGCGAAAAAACGCAATTTACATCAACTGATTTTTGGAAGGTTTAAAACGAAACCGGGACGTCATTTCTGCCTCCTTCACGAACCGATGATGATTTTGTAAAATATTTTTTTATCGCGCGTAATTTTTATTAGACGGCATTGTAACAAACGCAGCGTTTTTCGGAACTGCTCGCATCGAGTAAAGTTTAAGTCACGCCTGCGTTAACGCTAACTCGGTTCGAAACCCGGATGGAATAAAATTGGAACTGCTATTACAAAACGAATGATAACAGTGTCTGATTTACTACAATAATAATAATAATATTAGCGACGCCCACGTAGATGCCAATTCATTTCTTCGCGCGCGCGATTAAAAACCGAAAAAAATAATTTCGATTCGTTTTCCTAAATTAAATAACGGTAGTTAACGATAATTTTCTGTGTGTTAAAATCCAGCCCGGTTTCATATAAATGTACTGGAATGAACGGTAAAAGAAGGAATGAAGCCGAGCAGTTGTGTTGGCATGGTGGATTCAGCGTTGCCGCCGCTGACGCTCGCCGCCGTTTGCTTGAGTTAAAGATGTCGTAACAACCGAGGCTCAAGAACTCCAGATGCCCACGGAAACTGCTGTGTGTTGTTTGGCTTCGTATGTATGTGTATCAGTGTGCCTGTATGAGTGTATAAAAGAGAGTGAGAGAGCTTCGTTCATGGATTGTCGGAAAACGGACAGGGGCGGACTTAGTAAGATTTTGCCCAAATATCTTTCTAGAAGTTGGACGCATTTTATCCATTTTGAATTTCTTCTTCTGTCACACTTGGTAGTTACTTTGGGTAGTTTTGCAGTCGTAAGGTGTCTGTCGGTCTGTCTGTTACCACAAAACTCGAAAACTACCGGCTGCATTTGGATGATATTTCTGTTTCGTTTAGGGTGTAACCTTTGGGTGGTTATGAATGTATTTTAAAACAAATTTCACTAGGAATAATCATATGAGGATGTCCATAACCGATATTAGTACCTACTACAACAAGGTTTTCGTGTTGTAAGAAAACGATCAGTGTGGTAGAAAATGAAAAGAGAGAGGTAGAATCAGGGTTAAACTTATAGAGTTGACGTCAAAATCGGATTCATTTTCGTAGAAATGATACGGCCGTTAGAAAGCTGATATGTGTTATTAGAACAACCGTTTCACTTAATAAAATTTTGTTAAATTGTAGTTTGATATAGCTAACAGCATAATAGACAGCACTGCCCTTGTATCTCAGAAACGGAAGGGCAAAGCCTAGCACTGCTTGAAGTATCCACAGCGTTAAGGGCAAAATCTTTCATGAAATTAAATTAAATATTCTAGAAGATTAGAAGATTTGGAAAACTCTCCCCTTAAGAGCGAGTTTACTTAAAATTTGCTTTAGTAAGGGCGTCACATGTAATTCCTAAGGCAGGCTCTGCTCAAAAGTTCCAGTTGTCAGAGCTTTTAGACCTAATGATGCAGGACCGGACGTTGCAAAACGTCAACACTTTGAGTATCAACCATCCGGGACCCATAGCATACAAAATAACTTTTCAAAATCGAGCATCAATACTAGTTCTATAAGCTTTTATTATCTTCCATTTTTAATGTTGGACGCGGACTGAAATGAAAAGACTTCTGAAGAAGCTCGCCACTCGGGCTATTGAAACGTTAGGAAGTAACTCCAACCCACAGCGACCTTTAAACCCGAATCAGGACAATTTTTTTTTTATGTTTTCGTGGAAGAGGGGAAATCTTCAAAAGACACCCAGCCGCCTGTACGACTGGGTAGTGTCGGATTCCCGAGGAAGAAGTCCTCGGACCTACCGACTGAAACTCCTCTACCTCAGGCCGTTCTAGGACCAATTGAGGTATCAGGACAATGTGTTTCATTTTCATTTTATGTGGTAGTATATTCGTTTTCATTTTCTATTGTTTAAGACCCTCGTGCACTCAGCAGAGTTTCAGAGCCTCTTTGTCCTTTCGTTCCTGGAAGGTTCAAATCATTAAGTATTGAGAATTGATGGATTATTTGAAGGATTTTCAAACATTCAAGTTTATTGTACCTATCATTTTAACCCTCCAGTGGGAGGTATTCTGCAACTATTTGAGTAAAGGTAGTAATAAAGTAATAAGTACCTATTCGTTAATGAGTGATCCAATAATTAGACAAAATTACCTAATCACAACCATTCTATCAATTTTTGCTACAACCACCACATATTTTAAAAGAATCTCTGTTTAAAACACGTATTGGACTGTTAATGTTTAAAATATATTTTTTTGAAATTAATTAATAGATGATGATATTACGTTTGACTAGTAAGATGGTTGATGGATTGAAGGAAATCCATATTAGGTATGTAATAAACCCACACATTAATTAAACAGAAATTCGATCATATATGAAGTGGTTATGGTTATAACATTTGTGTGCAAATGAGTGTAATTTTTGTTTAAATTTGTATTTTTAACGCAAGCAACAAGAGAACGCTTAGCTAAAAATCACGAGTTCATTCATAATTGATGCTTGTAACTTGTGTGTGCCACATGATAAACTAATCTCGTTTCCGCAGATGTTCTTCCTTTCGGTAATTTGATAATATCCTCAACAAAGTTTTAATTTTAACATGTATCATGTGTTAATCAAATTTGTCCACGAAAATAAGATTTAATTCAATCAGTTGCTTTAGGCGCCATTTACTTTTGTCTTTTTTTTATATGCCATTAAATCACCAAGAAAATCTATTTTTTTAGACCTGGTTTCTATATATCAATTTTGGTTAGTAATACGAATCATGGTTCATCCCTATGAAATGAAAATTTTTAAATTTAAATATAAATTGTAAACCAACTTATTTTCTATTACTGTTTGGTTCAATTCCCTACAATTTATATTTTGGGAATTATCCAGAATTGGGGCTCCAGACCAAAATCGCTTTCTTCGATTTCCGACCATTCTACATAATAGAATTAGATATTAGAAGGCGGGGGAGACGGTTTTTTATAACTTCATAAACAAAAAAAAATCCTTGAAGTTCTAAACTGTAGGTACGTGAAGAAATGGGGGTGGAGATCAGGGGCGGGGGTGTTAAAAATTATGCAAGCTTTTAATCTCACGATTGTCACTACATAAAATTCTTTTATTAATATAAAAAGAAATAATAGTTATGCATACACCATATACCCTATGATGTATTTTTGGAGCGATTTTGGTTTGGAGCCCTAAATCTAGGAATTGTATAAAATTCCGATATTGTACTAGGAAATGTATAAAACTAATACATTCTGTGAATTAAATACTCTAACATATCAGCCAACCTCCGGCGAGCAGGGGCATTAAATAAACTCGAATCTGTCACAAATCTACCTAACCAAACAAATGACGTCACCAATGCAGGCAATTTTGAAAAATTATCATTCAATTAAAATTTTTGGAGCGGTTATGGTCTGGAGCTAGGGTTGCCACATTTTCAGGCTTTAAAGTAAAGTATTTCTCGACTAAATGGTTCAAAAAAAAAGTACTCAGCATAAAAATAAAGTATTTTATTTTTTGTTTTTAAAAACATTTTTTTTGTTACACCTAGCAGCCAGTAACAAATTGCTGTCGCTCTTAAATATATTAATAGCCTCTAAACACAGCAAACAAAGTTTTAAGTAAACTAAAAGTCCATTTTTAATTAGTTTTAATGAAGCTTTATTCCTGTNATAGAACGTTTTACATCTTATTCTGGGGATTATTAGTAGGTCACCCTTGAAAATTCCAGGTGGCAATCATTCCTGGAGCCCTCGGACTCTGTTGATAGCATTTGAAATTGTTAATATTACATTGACTGCGACCACATAAACTGAATTGCCCAAAAATATACTTATCAATGTACTAGTATCATTGATTTTTTTCAAAAAATATTTTTTACAAATACATGTACATGTATAGTGTGTAAATTACAATTAAATTACTCATAGTGTTCGGTTCAGACTACTGACATAACGTTTTGTAAGACAGTATTATGTCATACTAATAAATTTACCAAGTTAAATGATCTAATTGCCAGAAGACGCGATTTTATGAGCGTTACATCCCGTTGTTTTCGTAGAAACATTATAAGTGTCGCATGTGGTATAGTTTTCGTTAAATTTTATTTTCTTTGCTGCCCAATTGTTGGGTCGCTTTTGCCATTATTTCAAATTATTACTTTCGTAGATACTAATTACATAACTAATTATTTTATCTCAGTTTAATTATTATCAATATCGCCTGAAAAGTACGTTTTCTAATTGTATACCAAACGTGGGGTTAGTGCTGTTCTAATGTAAGATTAAAAATTTATTTTTGGTGGAATGTATTTATACTTGGTACATAATAACTTCAGAAACTCAGGTCAAAGACTTACTCTATTAACGAATTTTGTGATAAACATTGACCTTCTTGTCCAGATAAAGGAAATTAATTCATGAATTTATCGTGCAGTATCTTTTTGTAAACAGTCTCTACATAGAATTATATTTAATTAATATTCAGCGATTGTTAAATTCAAACGAAAAGTAAAAAGAGTCAAATGTTAATGAAAATGAGAAATAATTAAGCATAGTATTATAAGTACTTTTTATTTATTTGATCATCATCTCATAATCTAAACAAATTGCATCAGTCAGTTTTTTTAAAGGTTTGATGAGAAAAATTATTTCATGTAACCAAGATTTTTTCCACATCCATTACACTGAGTTTTGAAATATGCCAAAGAAAATTAACTTACATAAAGGAAAGTTCTAACAGGTATAAAAAATAATTCATATATTCGCTCAACGGTGGTTCCAAAATAACAACATTTTAGTTAATTTTAGTAGGAATTTTCGTAAGTGAATTTTATAAATTCGGATAGGTGAAATTTAATTTGAACCCATTTGAGAATACGTTAGCAACTCTCAATACAGTTGAGCTATTATTAATATTAATTCCAATAAAGAAGCTTTCTGTAACACCAATTACTATTATATAAGTCAAAAGCCGTTGCCTTTATTTTATAAACATTTATTATTCTGGTTATTAAATCCACAGCATACACTTATTTATATTTTCGTAAGCAATAAAATAGATAAAAATCTTAAATAGATAAACTGCTTTTGTGTTTTTCATTGTCACTAATACTATCTTCATTATTTTCAACCGTACTTTGTTTCCTCAAGTGTTTTTCTTTTGGTTTTGTATGCCTTTCTTTACTTTGATTTTTCAAGTTTTCTGGAACTTTCTTACTTCCACTGGGCACGTCAGTATCAAATGATTTCACCTTTTCTTCCTTGTTTTGGGAACTTTCTTCCGTCTTTGCCTTTATATCAATGGTGGACGATTTTAACAAACTATCATCGCTCTCGGTTTTGCTTATTGTTATCAAAGGGATGTTGTCTGTCCATTTTGGTGGCCGATTACTTTTTAGGTGCCTTTTGGATCCGTTTTGTTTTGACGAAGACACCTCATGTAAATTGATGCTGGAAGAAGACGTGTCTTTATGTTTGGGCGAAATTGATGATGGAGAGGTAAGATTGATTTGAGGATCTTCGTTAGCTTCTGAGTTCGATCTTTTACGAGATAACGCCAGATGAACTGTGTTTTGAAAGTTTTGGAAAACAGCATTGGTTCTGGTTCGTGGACTTTTCGGACTTCGAACGTCTTGCTTTGGTGTATTTATATCGTCTGGTAAAGATTCATGCTGCTCGTTGTCTGTAGCATCGTCAGGAAGTGGAGGATTTTCCTCTTCAGAAGTTGATGCCCTTCCTAGTGCTTTTCGTATAAATTTGGCTAAAATTTCTGGAAAAATCGATAATTCATATTTATAAATCATTTAAATCTAGAAAATTACCTTTAGTTTTGTTGCCGTCTTTTTGTTCTTGATCCAGGGCATCCATTTCTGGTTCTTTTACTACCTCTTCAAGACTTTTTTGATTCGGTAGATTGTTCAGCAATTTCTTCCATCTGGCGAAAGGTGTATTATCAAATTCTCCCGATCCTCCAGAACCTATTCTTCGTCGCCTGTCCACCAGTTTAAACATTTTTCTTCTTTCTTCTGTTCTTTCTTGGCGTAACTGAATCTGTGCACATATAAGAAAAATTACAGGAACAGACAAAACAATTAGATCATAAATAAAAACTTTACCTTTAGGTCATTATTGGCTTCCCTAAGAGCCCCTGTTAAAGACACCAAATAGTAAATAATTAAAATGAGAAGGATGAGTAATGGTATAATAATCCCAGGAGATGCAATGTAATCTAAAACCTTGTGGAGATTTTTAGGAACGATGCTTTTGATGGTTGTGGTGAATATATGGAAGATTCTGGTGTAATTAGAGAATGGTCCGCAATGCCAGGAGGGCTCCACCCACACTACAGCGTAACCCACCGGCAGGGTGCAAAGGAATAACATCATAAGGAGTAATGTGAAGTAAAAGTTATTCGATCTAGACGCTCTAAACACCACTGAATGTGGAACGTTGCATGTAAGAACAGTCCAAGAGCGAAGATACATGAGAATGTAAAGCTTGATAACGTTAATCCAAACAAGTCCAGGAGAAAAAAACATTCCCATCCATACCATTCCCTGATTATTCACTAGATGAAGGATATTTTCAGCTACTTTGAATTCACCGTATTCCGGGAACTTCTTTTCCAAATCCCAACACCAGCACCTGTTCATAACTCTTAAAAATAATCCTCTGAAAAAATCGACGCCCAGAATTCCTAAAGCTGTCATTACCAAGTCCATTATGACAATTTTGACCAGCTCCTGGCCGAACATTGTTTCCCAGCAGAGTGTACGAAGCTCGCTTCTGTTTTGATACGGCAGTTCGCTAGCCTTTTCTTCCAAATCAGACAGTTTTGTTATATCGTTCGGTGTTGTTTTGTTATTGAGAGCCAAATTTTTACATATTGTTTCGCAAATTGGAGTTTCTTCAGTGGTCGTTTGTTGTGACTCATCAGTCGAGTCGTTCCATGTTTTTGTTATAGATCGGAACAAATTATTGTCGGCTTTTTTGTAATATTCGCTGAAATTATTTGTTGTTTCAGAAGTCGCCGGTATGTCGGATGAAGTATCTTCATTTTCACTTTCACTACTAATATCAGCATTTGTTGACGTTTCATTTTCATAAAAGACAGAAGTGAGTTCGCTTCTATCGGTATAAGTTTCAGAATTATTATTCTGCACAAAATCTGTAAAGTTTTGTTCTAAATAGCTCGAGGATGTATTTGTTTCTGTTTCAAACGTTGACGTGGTGATGTTAAACTCGTTAATATCTTCCAGCTCCTTCATCAGTCGATCGCTCCAATTATCCTCAGAATCGTCTTCGTATGAGTAATAATCTAAGCCTATTCCTTCATCTAAGTCACCACTGTTATTTGAGTTTTGCCGTTCTGTTGAAACCGACATATTGTCAGACGTATTGTAAGTACTGATGTTGAATGAACTTTCGTTAAATGAAAACGTGTCTGTTGATTCATTCATAGTCAAAATTGTAGTTGAATGTTCAGTAGTGTATGAGATGTTGTCATTTTGAAAGTCTGTAAAATTAGATGTTAGTAGTTATCTTATTTATAATTAGTACCTAGTAGAGTGTTTATGTTTACCTGTACTTTCGTAAGTTGTCGTATCAAAATCATTATCGTCAATGGAACTTTGTGTTTGACTAAAAGTTTCTGAGTAATCATCAGTGGTAAAGTTATAAAGTTGAGGAATTGCTGTGGTAGTTACATTTAGAACGATTGGAGTTGTGGGAGATGAAACTGCCTTCATACCATCACAGAGACATTCTGTTTGGTCGCTTTTAATTTTATACAACGCCGGATTATGTCCTTTTAAAATTGTATCATTCGAAAATATTGGCTTTATTTCATTTAAACGTTTTGTCTACGACATAATGGAAATTAATTATATCTAGTTATAAAATATATCGGTTATTAATACAAAAGAATTTATGTCGGGATATTTGAATGGGAAAAAAGGGATTAATGTAACTGCAAGATTTAGAGTGGGGGATGATAGTAGATGCGAATTGGGGAAGGAAACTTTGAGAGGGTTATAAAAGCAGAAAATGGAAAGAATGAAGTGATAAGATAAGTGACTGTAGCGATGGTTTGGTGATATTGAAAACAATAAAAAAAAGTTGAAATAAAACGGGTTTTCCAAAGAAGAAAGAAACTGAAGGCAGAAAATAACGGGATACAAAAATTAATAATTGAGCCTTGATTAGGGATAATAAGATGGGAGTGGATAATAAGAGATAATAGATGAGTATTTTGTTAGGGAAGAGAAGTGAGGATATTTAAAAGGGTTTTGAAAGTTGTTTTGTATTGATTGGCTAAATAAAAGGAAGATTAAATTTCTTAATATTTGAAACGTAGGTGAATTGTTACTTTATTTGATACTAGATTTAATTAAACATGTATTATATTGTTGATAGATAAACAGTTAATTATTGAAAATAGGTTAACATGTTTTTTTTTATATTCTTGTGTTTTCCTAGTATAATTATTGTACTTTTTCTGTAGTTTTAGTGATTAACGTCTTGTAGGAGGAGGGCTGTGTTTGAAGTTGGAAGATTAGTTTAGTTTTGTTTATTGCAAACATAAATTAATACTTTTTAATAAAAAATATTCAATTAATAAGAGAAATACGTACCATTCCATCTATTTTAACAAACTGAGCGAAAATTAATGAATAAACATTTAACAGATTCAGTACCATAATCCTGAAAAAATTATAAGATGAAAATATCGAAAATTTTTCTTATATTTTCTTATACTAGTGACGAGCAAAGCAAAACTAAGATCAAGACAGACTTTCCCAGTCTTTACATTGGCCTTGGCCTTGTTTATTCGGTCTTAGTCTTGGTCTTATCTGAAATGTACGTTTCTTTTAATAAATAATTCTTCTCATCATCATTATAAGATCGTCAGTCCTAAGACTGATTGGACACGTTACTCCACTCTTTCCTGTCCTGAGCTAAACTTCGCATTTCCCTAAAACTAAAACAACCCACATCCTTAACTATTTGCGAACAGTAATCTAATTTAGATCTACCTCTACCCCTTCTAACTCCTGTTTCTACCTCTAATATGTCTCTTACTAGACCTTCATGCCTGAGAAGGCGTCCTACTAACCTATCTCGCCTATTTGTTCTTGACTTCCATAGAGTCCTCTGTTCTCCTATTCTTTCTAATACCTCTTCATTTATAACCTTTTCTACCCACGTTATCCTCATCATTCGCCTATAACACCACATTTCGAAGGCTTCTAACCTTTTCTTTTCCACCGCGCCCACTGTCCATGTTTCGCACCCGTACAACACCGCGCTTCAAACATACACCTTTAACAACCTTTTTCGAATTTCCAAATTAACCGTTCGCGAGCATAGAAGTGACCCTATCCTCTGCTTTATATCCCTACTACCCTTCCGTCCTGACTTTTCTGACTTCCTAGATATCTAAAATCAGCCACTTCTTCTACTTTTTCGTCTCCTATCTTTATTTTCGCTCTTTCCCCACTTTTTCTTCCCTTGCATACCAGAACAAGGGTAAAAAATCTAGAAAAAGAATTAGTTTGTCTATATTTTAACCATGTGATATCCAGACATAGGAACAAAGAACACTTACTACGAAGACATTCTTGTAGATTCCTTTTTTTAATCGGTAGTAAAATAAGACCAGGATCAAGACCAACTTTACTCATCATTATTTCTTACCTTGCTAGTTGTATACGTAGGGCCTTTCTCGGGTGATATTTTTCGATAATACCAAGTATTTCGAAACCAATAGGAAATGAGGTCGTAATAAGATTTAGGACCACTGTTATTTCGTTCCTTCTCCACACGGTACTCATCGATTCTGGTTCAGTTGATCTCGTCACAACTTTGATTACAACCCAAGCGGACGATATTAGAAGACTAACAACCATCAAGTTTACAAAAACTCTCGACGAAATTATTCTCCAGCTAATAAGGAAATTGAATTATGCGTATAACAGTAGGTAAAAGTATGATAGTGGTAGTGGTCAAAAATTAAAATTAATATTCCTTTATTATTTCTGACGTTTGGGTTTATTTAACCATCATCAGACTAAAACGGTGAAGAGAAATTACTTAATCTTTAGCGTCATAGATCAAAACTACAATAGGGTTGTAAAGAAAATTATTAAAACAAAGCACAAAACCAATTTTGCTCATTGTAAATATTGAAAATTAAAATTTCATTCAAATAATACTTTTGTTTGTAATAATTAATTATTTAGGTGTGGTCTTTGTTATTACTTTCTGCTGTCTCTTTTTTTCTCTGCCTCTTCCAGAAGGGCTTCCTTGAAGCCCATAACGATCGACGAGACTCTGTTGTGGGCTGTTTCAGCGTTCCCTATCATGTAATCCCATCCTGTGAAAACTTTCCATGTAAATACACATTCATCTTCCTTTTCAGACAGTTTTGACATGCGGGAATTTTCGGCCATTCTGGAAACGTATTTAAAATCAATTTTCTTATTTCTGTATCTGTATCTATATAACTGGTTATTAAACAATAAAGACCATGGAATGAGATATTTGTGGAAATTCATTTTCCATTTGAACCAACTATAAATTACCTTAAGTAGATGAGGAAAATTTGCTGCTGTTGTCACACCCTCGCCGGGATTCGAACCCGGGACCTTTGACTTTACGCACAAATACTCTGACTACTAAGCGTAATGCGCAAAGCCAAAGATCCCGGGTTCGATTCCCGGCGAAGGTGTGACAACTGCAACAAATTTTTCGTATTAAATGAATTTCCACATTTAATATTTCATATATTAACATATTAATATCAGTGTTTCTTATATACCTTATGATGATGATGATATTAATATATTAATATCAGTGTTTCTTATATATATAGTATAAAAAAGTATATAAAAATGTAGGTATTTAAATAAGAGAATTTAGAGTGGGGGATGATAGTAGATGCGAATTGGGGAAGGAAACTTTGAGAGGGTTATAAAAGCAGAAAATGGAAAGAATGAAGTGATAAGATAAGTGACTGTAGCGATGGTTTGGTGATATTGAAAACAATAAAAAAAAGTTGAAATAAAACGGGTTTTCCAAAGAAGAAAGAAACTGAAGGCAGAAAATAACGGGATACAAAAATTAATAATTGAGCCTTGATTAGGGATAATAAGATGGGAGTGGATAATAAGAGATAATAGATGAGTATTTTGTTAGGGAAGAGAAGTGAGGATATTTAAAAGGGTTTTGAAAGTTGTTTTGTATTGATTGGCTAAATAAAAGGAAGATTAAATTTCTTAATATTTGAAACGTAGGTGAATTGTTACTTTATTTGATACTAGATTTAATTAAACATGTATTATATTGTTGATAGATAAACAGTTAATTATTGAAAATAGGTTAACATGTTTTTTTTTATATTCTTGTGTTTTCCTAGTATAATTATTGTACTTTTTCTGTAGTTTTAGTGATTAACGTCTTGTAGGAGGAGGGCTGTGTTTGAAGTTGGAAGATTAGTTTAGTTTTGTTTATTGCAAACATAAATTAATACTTTTTAATAAAAAATATTCAATTAATAAGAGAAATACGTACCATTCAATCTATTTTAACAAACTGAGCGAAAATTAATGAATAAACATTTAACAGATTCAGTACCATAATCCTGAAAAAATTATAAGATGAAAATATCGAAAATTTTTCTTATATTTTCTTATACTAGTGACGAGCAAAGCAAAACTAAGATCAAGACAGACTTTCCCAGTCTTTACATTGGCCTTGGCCTTGTTTATTCGGTCTTAGTCTTGGTCTTATCTGAAATGTACGTTTCTTTTAATAAATAATTCTTCTCATCATCATTATAAGATCGTCAGTCCTAAGACTGATTGGACACGTTACTCCACTCTTTCCTGTCCTGAGCTAAACTTCGCATTTCCCTAAAACTAAAACAACCCACATCCTTAACTATTTGCGAACAGTAATCTAATTTAGATCTACCTCTACCCCTTCTAACTCCTGTTTCTACCTCTAATATGTCTCTTACTAGACCTTCATGCCTGAGAAGGCGTCCTACTAACCTATCTCGCCTATTTGTTCTTGACTTCCATAGAGTCCTCTGTTCTCCTATTCTTTCTAATACCTCTTCATTTATAACCTTTTCTACCCACGTTATCCTCATCATTCGCCTATAACACCACATTTCGAAGGCTTCTAACCTTTTCTTTTCCACCGCGCCCACCCACCCACACTACAG